ACTTATCGACTAGTCGGTCGACACGTTTACGTTTACTTACCTAACCACGTTAGTCCACGACTATACTGTACATTCACTACCTACTTCTACTATATTACTACTCTCTTCTCTCTCTCTCTCTCTCTCTCTCTCTCTCTCTCTCTCACACACACACACACACACACACACACACACACACACCCACCCACATACACACTCAAAGAAAGCACACACACACACACACATCTGCAAACATAGATATCCGTCTGTACTATAGACAATATGAACATGCATGCATGCATGCCTACATACACACATTGATATGAATAAAAACATATGCATAAGCACATGCATTGAACAAAGGTATGTGCATGTATGTGCATGGGAGGAAATGCAAAGCTACAGATGAGTGTAGAGTTGAGAAAGAAGAACAAGGAATACCAAATTAAATCATGGCTCAGTATCAATAAAAATTTATCTTATACATAGCAAAATAATGATACTCCATTCTCTACTTATAGTGGTTTTTCTAGAGGGTTTGTGATTGATATTGGAGCAATGAAAAGGACAGAGATTCTTTATGCCAAAAATTTAAAAATTGGACAAAGAGCTACTAACTCATGACAGACTAAAATAAAGAGGTAGCAATTATCAAAGCACACCAAGACAAAGGGGAATATAACTTCAGAATCCCAATCATACCAAGACAATGTTCCCAAGCTTAATCCCTTCTCATAAATACAAGTCAATTGCAATCATATTCCTCATTAGCAAGTTCTAATTTGAAACTAAGAAGCAACTATTATGAAGTTCTATTCTTTTTCATAGTTTTTTGGTAAGGGTAAGATCAAATCTGAAATCCAGAAACGGTGAGAAATGCTGTTTGGGATAACTAGTTCAATGTATCAGTAACTGAGGATAATTATAAAGCAGATTTTAAACCTCAATGCCCTCAAATCCAACTTAATCTACCCAATTATTTCCAAATCAGGCCATTTACTGTAATAAACACTGACCTATGATAAGCAAAAGTAAGGGAGAATATCAGTCAGTGGAAAAGGGCAATCACAACAAAAAATATCTCCTTATTTAGTATATAAAGTTTGTCACAATTGAACTGACACACAATATCATGGACATAATTAAGAGAGATGAATCAAAACCAGAGATGGGTATCATACCTCAAGTGGCAGAAGGGCTGTAGGAATCACTCTAAGCAAAAGAAATACAGCAAAGAAGACACACCATAAGATGGATATCAGCAACATGACATGAACACTTGTGTGCGTGCACGAGAGAGAGAAAGAGAGAGAGAGAGAGAGTAGCAAGTAAACGATTTGCTTACCCAAGGACATGGCAACCACCATTATAGACAGTCTGAGAGATCAAACCCATCAACCCAACACTACCCCCACCATAAACCAAGTCAATCCTCCTCTTCACCTACAACCCACATAGAGGAAGCCAACAAATAGACCATCAAATCCTCAAAAGAATTACAATTCCAGTACAAACAAACAGGTACAGTAAAAAAGCAGAAGCTTTTTTTTATCTTTTTTTAAAAATAAAAGAAAAGTTTGCTTCAATCCACCAATTAGTAAACAAGAAACTAAGAAAACCATTATCAACTTCCAAAAGCTCCATTAGAAACCGAAATCATCAAAAACAAATAATGTAACCATGGAAAAAGAAATGGGTATCAAGCAAAAGTATCAAAACTTTATATTTTTGAAGAAAAGAATGGAAGGAGAGAAAACCCATTTATAGATAGAAAAACAGAACCCACCAATTCAGATCCCAACTCAAGGGTAGCATCACCAAAAACAGCTCTGTTACCAGAGTTGCTCCCACAAAAAACACAGACCCTCTTGAACCTCTGCAAATTCCCCTCCATCATTATTCACTGCACTCAAAACAGAGGAACCAATAAAAATATTGGGGAAAGGAGAAAAAGCAGAGACAGAAAAGCATTGTCCCTTTACTTTTTTTTAGATGAAAGACAAAGGGAAGCTATATTTCACTCTGGGAACAGCATTGGATTGAGCTCATAAGCTTACCTTTTATGGTGCCATATAAGAATCAAAGTCTAGTATAAAAGAGACAGACACCAAGACCCACAGTCTCCAATCCTTCCTCTGCTTTTGCAACCAATCTTTTCTCAGTGTCGATGGATGTCGCCAAATTCTCACCTTTTGAACTCCTCTCTCTCTCTCTCTCTAAAAATCATTCCTTTTGATCTTCTCTCTCTAATAAAAGCCCAAATTTGATCCCTCTCACTCTCAAAATTCCGACCTTTTGATCTTCTCTCTCTATCTCTCTCATTAAATCCCACCTTTTGATTGCTTTTCTCTCTCTTTGCTCCTCTCTCCCTCCCTCTCTCTCCAGTAGTCCAGAAACCAGATCACAAATTAACCTTTTTTCCCATTCTTGGAAATAAAATGATTGGGGAGCCAAGTTCGAACTTTGGAGCCCCACTAAAAACCCCCCAATGATGAGAGAATTTTCTCGATTGCCCCATCAAGATATTTACTTACCGAAAATGCCCTTCGGCATGGGCTATGAGGCCCGGACTGGCCCATCCTGGACCTATAAACTTCGAGACTGGGCTACAAACCGTGGCCTAAGGGCCGGTCTAAAGCTAGTGCCAGCCCCGTTCAGCCTGGTCCAGCCATATTTTTTTTCTTATTTTTTTCTATTTCTCATTTATTTTTGACACAGTTGCCCCAATCCTAATAGGGCCAAGGCTGCCCCTGTGTTGATAAGGGCTGAGGCTGGGATAGGGCTGGCCAGGTTTGTTGCCACCATGCTATACAAAAATAGCAACCAGAGAAGCATGAGACATTGTTACCAAACTGAGTTTTGAGATGACTATTTAACATATGGGATTATCTACGGAGGAATGTTTACCTTTTGTATAAAGAGGTCGTAATTATTTTGTTGGTTAGATTTCAAAATGGGTGAGTGCAAGAATGTCAATGATTAGACACAAAGTTCTAAAAAAAAGACTTTTTTTAGATTGTGTGACTCACTTCAACCCATCCAATTTGACATTTAATCAAAGAGAATAATTGTTACCTCTTAGTATAAAAAGTAAATAGTCATAACGTATAAGTTTTGAGATGACTATTTAATATTTCCTAGATGTGGATTATTTAGAAGCATCAAAATCACGCTTGGCGTATGAAAATGAAAATATTTTTTCCGGAAAACAACTTTGATAAATATTGATATTTTTGGAACATCAAAATCGTACACTTACTATCACCCAAAAATATTCCGATATGTTGGTATTTTTGATAAATAATTTAATTTTAACAAATTATTATAATATTAATATTTTTTAACACTAATATCTCACTAAACGACATTATAAAATAGCGACATTTTTTGGTACTTATATGAAATTGGCCTTTTCACATACCAAATTCTAACCAAACAAGTCATCCCTAGGATGTGTTTGGCAGTTGCCATGGAAGGGCACCATTTAATAGGGTGCTCCATTTACAATGGTTACCAACCCTCCAAGGGGGACTCTGGAGTACTAATTTCTTCATGTCTGAAAGAAAATGTGGAACCTCTCTGGTAGTCTTTACAATAGTCATCTCACAATCAAATAGGAAAATATACTGTAGTGCAACAATGTTTCATTTTACTTTTCACACTATCAAATGTGGGTACCAACGAAATAACGCACCAAGTCACTCATGAAATATTTCAATAACCAATATCTCATACGGGGTTTAGAGTGAAATAATAGCTTTCCGAAATACCACTTTTCGCATGGGCATTTTATCTTAGTACCACTTTGGTTTGGGTGCAACTTCGATGGGTCAATCAAAACACGTATTCTAGTTCATCCACCTTCCAAGATGGATTTTGAATTAAAAATTTCATAGGTTGATATTGCGAGTCACTATGATCATGAGTCCGAAAAATAAAATGAATTTTGAAACTTAAAAAAAGTTTATATTAATCTTTTTTTTTTTACTATTCTTTTTATTTATGGTATACCATCTTATCCTTACTATATTTGGAGCTAGAAATCCATGGATCCTAGGCAGAAATGCATTTGCAGTGTTGTTGTTTTAGATCTTTAATCCATCCAAACCGCAATGCGGAATAAACTTTTCCCTTCAGTTTTGGTAGAAAGCAAAAATTGAAAATTTGTCCTTCCAAAATATGCAACCCTTGTGATGTGTTATGTCCTCAGTTTTGATAAATAACTGTTTTGACTATGACCCTGATGTTTTGCAAATATCCTAACTCAGATGCTTATTTTTTAAAGACCAAAAACAAATTGCAGTTTGAATTTTTGAATACCTAGATCATTCCCTCCAAAGTTCAAACTTTAGATGATTCCAATGCAATCTTAATATGACATTTTCTAGGCACACAGAGAGTGTGGGTTAATTTTTCTTTTTCCTTCTTCTTTGAGTCGTCCATGTTGGAATCTAAGGTCACATCACCAAAATTTGGGATCCTAAAAAGATTCTTAGTGTAAGTTTTATATGAGGGAATAGATGGATAGTATACTCATGCAGGCATAAAAAATCTTTTGGCTGGTTCCGCCTCATGCCCAAAATAACCACCCTTTCCTTTGTGGGAAAATACGTGGAAACTTTCGAGGAAGTCTCTTCAATGATATCAGGGTAATGGTTCCCATAAAAAAAATGGCTTATCTCTTTTATGCTTACCAAATATACTAGAAAATAACCAAAGTACCTTTAATTATTTTGAGGAAAAATATAGAGTGAGATCATTTACTTTTAGTATAAAGTGGTCACAATTAATCTTGACCATTGGATATATAATTGAGTGGTTTCGTTTATTCCATTGCTCAAACTTTTTTTTTTTTTTTTTCTTAAATTGTCAACAGTGCTCCAAAATAACGACTACGCTCAAATTTCAAAAAAAAATTTCTCGAATTTTGTGACACACCAAAACTATCAAATTTCATATTGGATGGTTGTAAATAATTGTGGCCACCTTTTATCAAAGATAAATGGTCTCAGTGTATATAATCTCGAAATGACTTAGGTGTTCAAAATGTTGCAAGATGATACGACCATGCATTTTGGATCTTCTAACCATTATGTAAGAGACTACTTTCCATTTTGGACCTTCTAACCATTATGTAAGAGATGTTGATCAAGTACTCACGCGAAAAAAGAGATGTAGACCGAGTTATTTTATCCTTTAGTAGCAGATTGATTATTCATTAGGTATAAGATGGATCCAAGTTAGGGTAGGAAACGAGTGTTTTCAAATAGCAAACATAATATCAAAATATATGCATTCCTATTCCTTCTATGACCGATGTTTGACTACTCGGTTCGAGGGCTGAGTAGTCTGGATTGGTACTTTGTCGAGCCTGAGCTACCCCAAGTTAGGAGTCCCATTCAAGGATGTTAAAAAATATAAAACAATTTAAATGTATATATATATATATATATATATATATATATATATATATATATGTGTGTGTGTGTGT